CAATTCTGCTTACCAGACTACAAAAAAGATGTTGAGACCTTGGAAAAAGTGCAGAGAAGAGCAACTAAGAAGATCAAAGGCCTGGAGGCCAAAACATGAAGAACGGCTGCAGGATTTGGGTCTGGCTAGTCTAGAGAAAAGAGGAATTAGGGGGACATGATAACAGTAGTCCTGTATTTGAGGGGCTTCCACAAAGAAGGGGGGGGTCGAATTAGTCTTCAAAGCACCGGAAGGCAGGACAAGAAACAATGGATGGATACTAACCAAAGAGAGAAGGAACCTGGAATGGAGGAGAAACTTCCTAACAGAACAATTAACCACTGGAACAGCGTGCCACCAGAAATCATGGGCCCTCCATCACGGGAGGTTTCTAAGAAGAGACTGCACAATCACTTGTCTGAGATGGCTGGAATAGAAGCCCTCCAAGGTCCCTTCCAGCTCTATTCTATTCTATTCTATTCTAATTCCATTCCCTTCCCTTCCCTTATGTTCTCCATTCATTTCTATTCTATTCTGTTTTTCGGAGCCATCATAACTGAACAGTTGCTTAAACAAACAATTGTAAGTTGAGGGCTATCTGTATTGACCATTGTGTAGATAATTTAGTGAATTGTCAATGTTGACATTTAGTGAAATCTAAATGTACAACTAAGGATGAAGTAGTGAGAGTGACATGATGGGGACATAACCTGTGGGTTTAGCATTCCTAGTCCAGACTACCAAGAGGGATATTGCTGAGTAGGAGGTCAGCCTGCCCTTAACCTCCACTGGGTACACATTTACAGGCCTGATAGAATTCTGATTTCCCTTCCAGGTAGTTGACGGGCAGGCTGCTTCCTGGGATTCGCCCTCCAAAATCCATCTGCTAGAATTTGCTGCAATAGCAGAGTCTGCAAATGGTGTCACAGACCCCGTTATATGGAGCTTTTCTGGAAGGCAGGCTTCAAAAATCCCATATCCTCAAATCTGCTGCAATGGCCAACTCTACCTATTGAGTCACAAACCTTATTACATCCACTGGAGTTTTTTGTTTGTGAGTGTCTTCTGGAACGCCTTGAGCAATTTCAACCAAACTTTGTACTCAGATGACTTACTCTCTGGAAAAAAATACTGTGGGGGTAAGACACCCCTAACTCCCCTCAGGCTGTGTGTTCTGTTAAGATACAGCCTGTTGTGCCTTAAAATGGCTTCTACTATACTGCCGGAAAATGGATTCTACTGTACAGGGCAGTGGAGTTGCCATGGTAACGGCTTCACAGTACTCCACAAGGTGGCTCCCTCTGGAAAGGGGAAAAACCCAACATTAGAAATTATGGATGGTACGGACATTTCCCCCCCATCAATAAATACCCAGGCAACGCTGGGCTATAAACTAGTAAGATCTAAAACAAGGCATGTATTTGCAAGTTGACTCAGCCTTCTATCCTTCCAAGGTGGATAAACTGAGGACCCAAATTGTTGGAGGCAATAGGCTGACTCTGTAAACCACCTAGAGGGGACTGTAAAGCACCATAAAGTGGTATACAAGTCTAATGGCTATTGCTATCAATAAGGCCAAAAGAAGAGAACAAGACCGGAAGCTAAAACATATAAAAAACAGTTGCAGGAATTGGGTATGTCTAGTTTAATGAAAAGAAGGACTGGGGTAATAATACCGTAGCAGTCTTCCGATATCTCAAGGGCTGCCCCAAAGAAGAGGGAGTCAAGCTATTCTCCAAAGCACCTGAAGAAGCAACGGGTGGAAACTAACCAAGGAGAGAAGCAACTTAGAATTAAGAAGAAATTTCCTGACAGTGAGAACAATTGACTGGTGGAACAACTTGCCTCCAGAAGTTGGGAATGCTCCAGCACTTTTTCAGTTTTTAAGAAGAGATTAGAATACCATTTGTCTGAAGTGGTGCCTGAGCAGGGGATTGTACTAGAAGACCTCCAAGGTCCCTTCCAACGCTGCTATTCAAGTCGAGTCGAGTCGAGTCTATTTTCTACAGTATTCTAGTCTATATTCTACTCTATATTCTGCTCTGCTCTGCTTCTATTGTATTCTACTCCGTTCTATTCTATTCTCATGCCATTCCATTCTATGAAGGCATCTCCTCTCAAGGTTTTCCAACATCTGGCTCAGTGTTTCTGACTGATACCCAACATCAGAGAGAGAGAAAAATCCCATCCGAAGATTCTTGTGGTCCAAAGGAACCTGCAGCTTTTTGGTTCGACTAATTTGTGGCGATGACTGAAAACCGCCTGAAACATCTTTGCTTCTCAAGGCGATCCAGACTCCTTTTCCATCAACTCTCTTTCTGCTCTCCATGCAAACTATTGAGGAGCTTCTCCCCCCCCCCCCGGGTTCTTCTCAACCAGCTGGTGAGCTTTGACCCACACCATAAACCAGGATGTCTTGATTTTTAGTTTATTACGTGATTTGGAACAAAATCCATTCAATCCCTCAGTTACAGTCATGTCTTGACAAGGGCCTTTGGTCAGGTCTCTGGGGAGGCAGCTCTCAGTCAGTGGCGCCACTTTAATGGGATTAACATCCATCACAAACATCAACAGACACACTTGTGGCACCTTTAATGCCAACAAATGCAGGCTGGCCTCAGCTTCCATGGACTAAACTCCAATTAATCTTGCATGGATACATGTCTTCAGTTGTCATATCTGTATCCATCATTATAAAAACCTTGACAGCAGCTCCAAACGGATAGAGGATGGATGATATCACAGCCTAATATCATAACATAACCCTAACTAATGTTACGTATGTCAGAATGGATGCTTTTCTTCTTACAAGGAACAGGGAAATATTCGTCCAAGGGGTAAGGAGGGCTCAATCTAAGGAATGTCCTCCAGCAAAAGGTTCTTCAACTGGTTTATCTCAACCACCAGGGAAATCATTGTCCTCTTTTAATGGCCCCATAATCTCTTGCAGGATGGAGTCTGGGCAATCGAATGGAGCTAGTAGAGTATTTTACTGGCCAAATGCCCTTCCTGTTGCCAGTGTGGAGTTTTGTTCAGCAGATACATTCCCATCGTGCCCAGAGAGAGAAATTTCTGCCTCTACCTAGGATCGAACTCACAGCCTCCTGATTGAGAGGTGAGAGCTCCACCTCTGGGCCACCATACCACTCAATCTCGACCCCCAGGGGGATGGTCTCTAGGAACTGAAGACCATCTGGATCACAACCCAACTTCTGCCTATAGGAAGAGGGCATAAGGAAATGGCTGTGAAGGACAGAGAGGCTTATTGTCACTACCAAAGCAACATCCATGCCAGCGTGTCTTGACCCCATCCCAAGAAAACAATTTGAGGAAACGTTTCAGGCCTTTCCTGGTTTACACAAAGATAAAGGGGGAGAGGGGGGAGAAGCACATTCAGACTAGAAAGGTAAAGGTTCCCCTGTACATGCATGCTAGTTGTTTTCCAGCTCTAGGGGGCGGTGCTCATCTCCGTTTCAAAGCCAAAGAGCCAGCGCTGTCCGAAAATGTTCTGCATGGTCATGTGGCCGGCATGACTAAACACCAAAGGTGCACGGAACACTGTTACCTTCCCACCAAAGGTGGTTCCTATTTTTCTACTTTCATTTTTACATGCTTTAGAACTGCTAGGGAGCTCACTCCATTATGCGGTGCTAGGGATTCGAACTGCCTTTCTGATCGACAAGTTCAGCATCTTAGGGCAGGGTTAAAACCCAAGGTTTCATTCTCGACCTGGTGCCATAGCACCAAACTGGGTCTTGTAATTAAACAATACATGATGAATATATTAATATTCTCAATGAAATGTGGAGCACATCTCTAACAAGTTCAATGTATTTTTCTACTTGCATTTTTACGTGCTTTCGAACTGCTAGGTTGGCAGAAGCTGGGACAAGTCACGGGAGCTCACTCCATTATGCGGCGCTATGGATTTGAACTGCCAAACTGCCGACCTTTCTGATCAACAAGCTCAGCGTCTTAGTCACTGAGCCACCCCGTCCTGTAGCTGTGGCAATAAAAGATTCCCATACTAACATGGCTTTGATTTCTTCGTGGGATGAAGGTGACCTTGGTTGGCCAATACTTACCACTGGGCCAGGTATTCCCCGAAGTCCATCTGGACCTGGCTTTCCTGGAGGTCCCTGAGGACCAACTGGACCCGTCTTCCCAGGAGGTCCTTCCAATCCAGACTCACCCTAAAGGGAAGCAAGACGTTACAGGGAGGACATGACTGAAACCAGAAATGCTGTTTTGTCTGGGGGCAGCTCCGTGATTTTTTACCTTCGCCCCTTTCTCTCCTTGTCGGCCTTCGGGTCCTGCAGGTCCAGGTGGCCCCTAAAAAGATTGGGAGAGACGGTGCAGTGAGATTAAACCCTGATGGTTGTAGCAACATCCCCTCGTATGAACCTCCCACCAGGTGTCACAACAGCTCAACTGAAAGAAGCCCCAACACCCGTCTCCAGCATCACTCAAGAGGTTGGCTCTTCCGATTAGATTAGATTAACAGAGTTGGAAGGGACCTTGTAGGTCATCTAGTCCAACCCGCCCCGCCCCCCAGCAGAAGACCCTACACCATTTCTGACAGAGGGCAACACAGTCTCTCCTTGAAAGCCTCCAGGGATGAAGCTCCCATGACTTCCGAAGGCAACTTCCGTTCCATGGGTTGATTGCTCTCACTGTCAGGAAATTCCTCTTTATTTCCAGTTTGAATCTCTCCCTGTTCAGTGGTCTTTTTTTAAAAAAAACCTTTTTTTTAATCTTTCATGATTATTATTTTTATCCAACGTTTTTGTTGTTAAAATAATATCTTCCTTTAATTAAATGTCGGGAGTTGTCCGAGATTCCCTCAGATAACAAATCCACAATTGCTTTCTGAATACAAAGCAAGAGAGTTGGAAGGGACCTTGGAGGTCATCTAGTCCATCATCCTGCTCATGCAGCAGAAGTAGGTCAGGGGTCAGCAACCTGTGACTCTGGAGCCGCATGTGGCTCTTTCATCCCTCTGCTGCGGCTCCCTGTCACTCAAAATATGCGTCACAACTGCCAAAGTGCGACACTCGCCGGCATACAATTTATTGAGCTTTTCGACCCCCGGTAGGTCAACCATGGATAAATCCAAGAAAAGAAAAGTTGCAGAAGGAAACAGAACGTTTAATTCAACGACATAGGCTACTTTTGTAGCCGCTCCGGAAATAAGTCAGGCACCGGAAGGGTTTTGTGGCTCCCTGTGTTTCCTTTTCTGTGGGAAACGGGTCCAAATGGCTCTTTGAGTGTTTAAGGTTGCCGACCCCTAGCCTAGATCATTCTGGGCAAATGGCTGTCCAGTCCCTTTCTAAAGACTTAAAAACCTTCAGCGATGGAGCTTATTTCTTTTACTTGCACCTTCTTCTTAAATGGAAACTAGTTTCAAAGCAAATAACAGACGATTTTTACCCAAAGAACAAATATATAAAACCTTGAAATGGTAGCTATGGAATATCTGAAATCTGGCTGGAGGAGAACCAGAGCAATCTGGAAGACCACACCCTGTTTCTGGTGGGGGATTTAACTTCTCCAAAGCATCTGACAACTGGTCCTATCCTTGCTTTCCTGCTTTGCAAACGGGATGCAAACTAACGTTCTTGTGGCAAGAAAGATAATCATTTCTTTTGAAGAGCAACATTGAGTCTGCCTTTATTCACGCCACGTTTTCCAGAGATTTGTTGTTATGGTGATACATTCTATTTTCAATAATTGGCACCTCTGATGTTCCTGCTGCTGCTTTCTTTGCAGACTTGCAGAATTTGCTCTCCGATGAATTGTTCAAAAGATTCCTGCATCCACACACCAACCCACCCATCACGGGAAGAGATACTGTTTGACCCCCTCTTTGCATCATGACACCCCTCCATTTGGCTCTTCCCTCTTTAGTGCTGAGGGGTCAGTGACATTTTCTGAAATGTTTTTCTAAACACTGGAAGAGGAAAGACTAAAAAGGCAACTTACCCTCTTGCCTGGAGGGCCAGAAGGACCCGGCTCTCCGGTTGGACCAGGAGACCCCTGAGAACAAAAGAAGAAAACAATGTTTATCCTTAGAGCTCTAACACAAGAACTGCTAGGACAGGCTAAATCTTGAGTCCCAAATTTCTGTTGCTAAGCAAGAGTTGTTAATGCAAAGGACCAGCTGTCTGCAAGATACATAAATCCTTCCCTTCCCCACTATCCTGTCAGAGCTGAAGAAGCTTCTTGGAGTAGAAGTGAAATGTCTTCAAAGGAAAAAAGCCCAAGAAAGTCCTTGGGGACAACCATGACCTGGATGACTGAGAATCTCTACAGACTTTTAGCTATACAATTTGGGATGAACCCCCATGGAATGGAGTGGGAGGAGGAATGGATTTCCAGAGGAAAAATTGCAGACTACAGGAAACATTTGCACCACTCAGGTGACCCCCGAAGACACAGATAAACCTCCAAGTGGCCTCAATGACCCTCTAAAAAGATGCAAAGGACCAGCTCTCTACAAGGAGTCTAAATCCTTCCATTCCCCACCATCCAGTCAGAGCTGAAGAAGCTTCTTGGGTGAGAAGCGAAACGTCTTCAAAGAAAAAACGGAAAGTCCAGTTGCCCCTTGAAAAAGCACCTTGACCCGGATGATGGAGAACCTCTACAGACAAGACTGGTTAAGTGATTTTTGCAGCATTTTATGTGTGTCAGATCTGCCCAGCTTCGCTTTGCTTTGATGGCAACCTGTCATAAAATTGTGAAGAGGGGGAATGGGAGGGCAAAGGGAGGGGGGATGACATGAACCAGAGGTGCCAACCAGAGATAATGGTTGAGATGACACCAGCCTAGGACCAGAATACAAACACCCACCAAAGACGTAGAAAAATGTGGAACTGTTACCAAAATACAGTATCTAATTTGGACATTATTGGACACTACCAAGATGACCAAGAAGGGGGGGGGGGCTGGAGAAGGGAAAATTACCGGGTTTACACAGGGAATCCTCAGATCTGGCTTTGCTGCGTTGTAACCACTTGGCTTCAGTAAAAGTATACCTTTCGCTACAAATGGGAGTCCAGGGTCTTTCTTTCCTGAATGCCTGAGTTGGGAGAAGCCTGACAGTGTCCTTTTATGAGGTCTTGGATCACAAGTTCAAAAGAGCTTCCTTAAACATCCTTTCTGTCTCATTGGCTTCTTTATCCTCTTGCCCATTAAATTTATCTTGACATGACTCTAGCTGGTCGCCTATGGAGGCTCTGCACCAGGAATTTGCTATTTCCACACTTGTGGAGACAGAGAGCTGTGGCCAAACTGTCTTCTGCAGAGAAGCACACGAAGAAGAAAGGGGTGCCTAGGCTTGGGATTGGGTTTCCTCCAAATAAAGGCTTCAAGGCCGAGACATTCCAGAAACACCAGCTGATCCCAGGTTCTGACCAATGGCTCCCCACCAGTCCTTAGCTCTCTCTCGATGGCCATCTCTACTCAGTCGCGAACTCACCCATATCGTATTTTTGATACTAAACAAAGAGAGGCATTCCTAAGAAATACGTGCCCTCTGCATGCAGTCCGGGTACTCACCGTTTGACCAGCTTCCCCATCATCGCCCTTATCGCCTGTTGGGCCATCCTGACCCTAGAAGAAAATAGAAAAGGAATCCTTTAGTTTCCCATGGCTATTTCAGGCCTCTTGAAGGCCCCATTCCTGAAGGATTTCCTAATAGAAAGGAAGTCCTTAATGGCTAAATGCAAGAGGTGACACAGGAACTATAGGTATCTTACATATAATTTATTGCATTTTAATATATGTGTGTGGCTTTGAGTCAGTGTTGACTCCTCATGACTGCCTAGACTGGGCCCTGCAAAGTGGTTTACTGTTGCTTTCTTCTTGGGGCTGAGAAAGAGTGGCTGGCTCAGCCTCCCCACTCCCCCCCAGCTGCTTCCTGCTTAAAGGTAAAGGTTCCCTTCGCACATTTGTGCTAGTCGTTCCCGACTCAAGGGGGCGATGCTCATCTCCGTTTCCAAGCCAAAGAGCCAGCGCTGTCCGAAGACGTCTCCTTGGTCATGTGGTTGGCATGACTCAATGCCAAAGGAGCACGGAATGCTGTCACCTTCCCACCAAAGGTGGTCCCTATTTTTTACTTGCATTGTTTACTTGCTTTCGAACTGCTAGGTTGGCAGAAGCTGAGACAAGTAACAGGAACTCACTCCATTATGAGGTGCTAGGGATTCGAACCACCGAACTGCTGACCTTTCTGATCGACAAGCTCGGTGTCTTAGGGCAGGGTTAAAACCCAAGGTTTCATTCTCCACCTGGTGCCATAGCACCAAACTGGCTCTTGTAATTAAACAATACATGATGAATATATTAATATTCTCAATGAAATTTGGAGCAAATCTCCAACAAGTTCAATGTAAGATCAAGATTTCAAAAGGTCAAATTTCCCCTTGATTAAAAATGTCTAACATTCAATAATATCAAAGAAAAATGAAACCATTGTAAAAAGAATAGACATGCTAGATGATTACGATTATGATAGAACTATTTTTTAAAACATATTAACAGAGATGGAAGGGACCTTGTAGGTCATCTAGTCCAACCCCCTGCCCAAGCAGGAGACCATTTCTGACACATGGCAGTCCAGTGTCTTCTTGAAAGCTTCCAGTGATGAAGTTCCCACAGCTTCCAAAGGCAACTTCTGCTCCATTGATTGATCGCTCTCACTGTCAGAAAATTCCTCCTTATTTCCAGGTTGAATCTCTCTTTGATCAGTTTCCATTCATTATTTCCTTGTCTAGTCTTCAGATGCTTTGGAGAATAGCTTGACCCCCCAACTCCTTACTGTGGCAGCCCCTCAAATATTGGAAGATGGTATCCTGTCTCCCCTGGTCCTTCTCTTCCCTAGACTAGCCACGCCCAGTTCCTGCAACCGATCACTGTACGTTTGAGCCTCCAGTCCCCTAATCAATCCTGGTTGCTCTTCTTTGCACTCTTTGCTTATCAGAAAATTAATAAATAGGCCACAACAGTAAAAAACATATACAGTATATATGTGCTTTAGAAATATATACTTGAAATCCGACTGGCGACTACGCGGAGGAGAGCCTTCTCAGTAGCAGCTCCGACGCTTTGGAACAATCTCCCCGTGGAGATTCGTACCCTCACCACCATCCAGACCTTCCGCACAGCCCTCAAGATCTGGCTATCCCGTCAGGCCTGGGGATAAGACCCTAATCTCGCCCCACCCGAATGCTGAATGAATGTTGTGTTTTATCGGTTTATTTTTTTTTTATTCACATTTTTTTTCTT